TGTGGCCCGGATCTATTCCCTAATATGATTTAAGTAAGCATTATATATATATGGACTAACCATCATTAAACAGACACGTTTGAAGCGTAGATAATATAGAAAATTAATAACTTGGGAATATGCGAGTTTCTAAATAAAATTAATGGTAGTAGTATGTCTTAAGTACGATCATTATATATCAATTGATGATTTTTGGGGATAAAAGAAGCTCATATCCCCTTTTTCCGGCTATTTTGTTTTTGGATGGATAAATGCTATGGCGTAGAGAATATTGGCTTTGAAATTAAAAATAACAAAGAATTGGTAGCTGCTGCTGCTCGCAATAGAAGAAGAGAAAAGATGTGTAATAATATGGCTTATTAATAGTAGAAAATAAAAAGATGAAAAAGTATCTTCTTTTGAGAGATGCAAGTACAATTATTATGGGAGACATGAATAATTTGATTATCTTCTTACAAGATATGTAGTCCCACGTCTTCATAATTTGATTTCAATGTTTTGGAACAACATAATTTTGACTCCCACATGTAATATATAACACTATAACAACTACTTCCAAAATTCCGAATTTCCGATCTTTTATGTAAATACATAATAAGAAATTATTGTGGTTTTGTTGTCTTTTTTTGAAAAACTTTATTGTAGTTTTTTGGTCGATCGGTTAATTTAACAATGCTATAAGCAGATAGTTTCCGACTCACGATTTAAAGCTTCCGAAAAATATGAAAAAAATACGAACAAGAAATCTATAAGAGAAGACGAACAAAATTAATTAAAGAACCAGTCAAGTAAAAAAAAAAAAAGGTAACCGATATAAAGCTAAGTCTATATGTCGTCACCTTCTGATATATACGAAAAATGTTTTGAGGTTTGATTAGCGTGAAGAAATCGAAAGCGTTAACTAGCAAGTTCCGTGATTGAAATCTTAGCTTCTTTATTAGATCGGTCCCATCGAAGCTCACTTTAACATTTTTATTCAAAAGTTTGTAACGATTTTAATATAGGCCAATGTAGAAAAAAGATTTTTTCTTTTTTTATAAGAAGCTCAATCATTCAGCATGCTTAATTATATTATGAAGTTAAGTAGGTTTATATGTACTTGAATATATAAGCTATATGGGTTTGACGTACATACTATACTTTGCAACCCATTCTAATAGTTTCATTTACGTCGTAAATAATATGAAGCATCATCAAGACATGAAATCATAGGATCATGTAGCAGCTCCTACAGAACAGTAATAATTCAATTTCAATTAATTTAGGGCTTTTGTTGTTTTTTTTTTGTAGTTGAAATGTGTTTTTCTTGCCCTACCCGTTTCCCAATATTATAATTTGTTGCGAGTATTTTGTGTCTCAGTTCATTTTCTTTTTTACTTTTTTTCTCCTCGTGGGTTGCTCATATACAAAATTTTACTATTGTTTATTGGGTTTGATTTGTTTTCAGTTTTAAATCCAGTTTATCACGAAAATGATAAAGCCAAACATAAAGAAAAAAATCAAAG